CGTCCTGAACGTCCTGGACCTCCTCAACCTTTAGACTCCGTTAAATCGTTTGACCTGCTGCACTTTTAATTATTCATTTGTTTTACCGACTCGTCTACCATATTCGTTCCTGCCTCCTTCTGCTCCTGTCTAGTCTCGGTCCCACGTGGTCAAAGAATCGGGAATCTCGGGGATAGATCCTGGATCGAGCGATCGACGAATCGACTTCGGATTAGCGTCGCTTCGACGAGGATAAAAGACCATCTTGACTGGAATTAGGGAAAGAAAAAAAGGAACTTGAAAGACAGCTCCTTTCCTAAAGAGTTTTTGTCCGGGTTCACGAACTCCTTCGTGATCTCAATTCCACTCTAGGATCTACGATATACGTCACGACTCACTCTCTCACTCTCTCTCTCTCTCTCGCTTTCGCTCCTTCGGAAGGAGAGAAGGAAAGAAGGAGCAAAATGTTCGGGACACACAATGGCCCAATACACTCTTAGCACAGTTTCCATCTTTATTTGACGATCCGAAGATACCCGAAAGACGCTGGATCGTCCGAAGGCTTTAAAGTTTGGTGGAGGTTCAGCAGTCCAGCGGTCCAGCGGTCCAGATACCGTCCAGGATGGGCGGCTCGTTCCCCAAAGGAATTCCAAGAAGGAGCCTAAGAGCAAAGTCGAGCTGCAGAATCGAATGAATCGATTTTGATTGGGTAATATGGAAAAGGAAGAATTCATTGAGGAGTCGCGGGGATTAAGGTAGGCAAAGATCTTGATCGAGGCAGGGATTATCAGGTCGATTACGCAATTTGACGTCGGTCCAATTATCAATTAAGAGCGCTTAATCCACTTAGGTAATTGACGCTAATTTTGTCAGACTCCTTTCCCACAAACCTTTAAACTGCAGCCTGTTAATTGCAGTTTAGACCAATAATTAGAGAATTTATCGTCGTCCTCCTTGTCCGATCTTCTCTATTGGCCTGGGACAATTGATCAATGGCAATTAGATAAGGCGCAATTTTCGACACTGGACGTTCGTCCGCTCATTCGCCTGGAGCAGCGTAGGTGCAGACGTCTGTTTCAATGGATTCTGTATTCTCTCGTTTTATCGGGCAGCCTGCGATTGGGCTATGGACGGGACGAGTCGGGACATCGGTGGGACATCCTTTTAATTCGAGATAGACGTATTAGAAATGCTAATGGGGAAAGATTAGTTTTTGCCGGGACGTCCAGGAGGATCGAAGGCGGAGGGACGACTCGCACTCGTTTCAAATTAGTTCCTCGCTGCATGAAAGTCCGAAAGAGGCCAGACCCAGGGAGACCGAGGGCTCCCTCGGCTGCGGGGCTGAGGTAAAACAAAAGGTAAAGCCTAGGAGAGCGGGAGAGCGGGAGGGAGGGAGAGAAGGAAGAAGAAGAAGAAGAAGAATACAAGGAGCTACCGGTAGCTGGAAGCGGCCTTTACGAACATCACAAAGCACCCGGCGGCCACCAGCGGCCCCTTCCATTTGCTTTATTTCATTTCGTTTTTAATTCCTCCCAATTCCACTGTCAAGCTGCTCGGCCGGGCGGCTCACGAAAAACAGGGGCGCGTCGCCAGGGCCGCGAGAGACGCGAGAGGGATGTGGCAAGTCCCCGTGCCCTTTCGCTGTCTTCTCTTTGTCTTTCTTTTTTCCGTCCCCTCCCCTTTTTTCCTCCTCTTCTTCTCTTTGCACTTTGACTTTTTGCCCGACGCCCGCACCCCTCCCCTGGCCTCCACGGAACGCGGCCGGAACTACGCGCGTTCCACTCCATAATGTCTCTTGGTCCCCTTTGGTCCATTCGGCAAGGGATTATTTATCGGGCACCCTGTAGAGAGGAAGACCGGTAAGAAGGAGCAAGAAGGAGAAAGAAGGAGTAAGGAGGAGTCAGGCGACTCGCTTCCCTTTGAGGCTAATGTCATTATAATGGCCGCTCGCGGAAGGTGTGTCTCTGCAAAAGCGAGGAAAAAGGAGGAAGAGAGGAGAGCAGGTCCAGGGAATAGAAGCGAAGCTGGAAGACGAAGCATCGCGCGGCATGCCAGCAGCTTCATGGAAAATGGGACTGCGGGGCCCAGCCGGGCAGCCTATCTCAAGAATTTTGCGAATTCTCGGTGAAGCGGGGTGGGTGGGGG